TGGATGGATGGATGGATGGATGGATGGATGGATGGATGGAAATGATAAATTTATAATAGAAATGAAGATTGTTTTTAACTTTGGAATTGTTGAATTTTAGTGTTTTTAATTCCTGTGTGTTTTATTTTGTCATTTTGTAATGCTTGTAAAATGTTGTTATTGAGACTGCTGGTTTGAATTTTTATATTGTGAATTTGTTTTTATCTTAGGAATTTTATTATGTTTGTATTATGTATGTTGGTAAAAGCGTGATGTAATTTCTATGTTTTTGGTGTGGACCCCAGAAAGAATAGTCTCTACTATGATAGAAACTAATGGGGATTCTTAAATAACCAAAAAACAAATGTCACATCCAAGTTATCATTTGAAGCCGAGGATGCAGGGAGATATTACTTTTACAGATTTTTGTGTTGACTAATGCTGATCAGAAGATATGAAGACCGTTTGAGTTTCATTAAAATCTGTCAAGTGGTTCATGAGAAATTTTACCGGTGTCAGACTTACAACGTGTTTCTTGTAAGTTCTTAAAACCTGCTGAGTGTTGGAGCAGGAGCACTTGTGGATGGGTCCTTCCCATGTACCAACCAAATAGATGCTGGGGTCCTGCAGAAACACAGTGTCACACAGGAGAGAGGGCTAATCCAGGCTGAACACTAAAACTGCATGTCAAGTCTTTGTGGCACCACAACTGGACTTGGTTCAGTGTTCAGTATTTGACAAAAGTCTGCAGCAACTTACTGTGGGGTGAAAGTCAAAACACAGCCCAGGAGTCAGAGCAGAAAACACACATCCTGTTGTTGTTTCTGTTGTGTTCACTCCATCCTTCCTCTTTGTTTGGTTGATCCTCTTCAGCTCCATCAGCTCTACAGAAAAAAAACATTAGAATATTAGTGAACGCCTCGAGGTGAAAAGTCATCATGGTGTTGGATTAACAGCCACAAATCATGACGCGCTCATGCTTCCTCATCTGTTAGATCAGTAGCTCTCAAACTACGTCACTGTATGTTTTTTTTTCCTGTGTGTCTGATTTTTCTTTTTTTTTGCTGTTTTAGATCTTGGGAGTTAAACAATATTCACATTAAAAGACATATATTTGTTTTTCCCAACAAGATGTAATTCAATCTGTTATTGGTCAAATAATTAGAGTTAAAAAATATTCTGGGCGTCTTTTGACAAGGATTGGAAGTTTGACTAAACAAGACTGTAGTAAAGGCCAGCTTTTATCAGTTACACAGTAAGCCTTTTTTAAACTGACCTGGAAAAGGCCATGTAGTGAAATTGTATGTGTGTTATGCTTTTATAATCTGCTAATAATTGCTTTAGGCTTAAGTTCATGCACAGGACAAAGAGTACACACTGTTTATAAAATTTCATGCAGTTATCAGAGTTTTTTTCTGCGGACAAATGTCTGTTTGTTCAACACACACACACACACAAATATAAACTTCAATGTCCGACCCGAACTCTTCTCAGCTGAATTCAGTCCTGCACATTGTTCTGCTCCAATCTCTATCACCACTGCCTTCAGGTGCTTCAATTCTCTGTTGTCCACTGACAATTCATCCTTCCATTTATTTTACATAATAAATTGGACTGTCTTTTTAACATTTTGATCGCTGTTATTTTGATTAATTTTGAAACGTGATGTGAATAATACACCTCAAACAATTCACTCGTTTTTTTTTTTTTTTTTTTTACTGTAAGCTTTTTTTTATTTATTATCTTTGAAATATATGCATGAGTTCTGACACATTAGCAGTTGTGGGCTCTGCAGAGCTGTCTGGAGACGCTTCTGTGCGTAAAACGTGCACTGTCTGCAGGGCGCACAGCTGAGCAGGTGAAGCTGACACCCCACCCACGTCAAAAATTCCAGTAAATACAATGAGTGGATAGTGCTATGATTGTGCTTGTTTGTGCTGCTTTGGTTTCTGAGACACAGCTGAAGGTGGATGAAGACGCTTCATCCCCGCGGGACATGCAATCAGCGTCTCTGCTGGCAGCAGCGTGTGCACGAGCTGTTGCACCTGCTGCAGCAGTAATATCCACACCAGAGACATGGACAACATCTCCTGTCGTTGTATTCTTAATAAATAATCAAAATAAAAATGCGCAATGACTTTGAACTTTTATGGGCGGAGATATGAGCTGACGGATCCGAACGAACAGTTGCCGGAATGCACACAGTGAAAATGAGGGAGTTCCCGGATCTTGTTCCGGCAGGATCCAGCTCAAATTAACCACTGCTAATGACCCTCTAGCATTTTTTTTGTATTGTTCCTAAAATCCGTTTTATTTTTTGTATTACTGTGATGGACTTGGACATGTCCAGGGTGTACTTGGTAACAAGTTTTACCTTCTTCACCAAATTTTTTCCATCATTCAACACCGACCATGGACTCTACATTTTCTGCTAAAATGCAGTACTGTTTAGCATCTGTACAAAAGACTGTTATTTGATTGTTTTTTTGTCCTGGGATTTACTATGTTTGTAGTTTAGGATTGTTTTTTGTAGTTCTTATTTCTGTCACTTGGTTCCACCACTAGTCGACCAATAAAGGGTGATCTTGTCCATTATTCAGAGAGTTATGACATGAAACAGACATGTTTGGTTAATTTCATTACCTGTGTGCATCTATTGGAAGTAAGTAACAATTTTTTTTGCTCTATTCTTGTCCTGTATAAGCTCAAAGCTGTATTTGACAAAGTTATGTTAATAATAATAATAATAATACTTTATTTATAAAGCCCTTTAAAACAACCGCAGCTGCCACAAAGTGCTGTACATATAAAATCAAGAATATTTAAACACATAAAACAGTTGTTAAAACATTAAGATCACTAAAAATAATAAAAACAGTGCATAGCAAAATTAAGTTAAGTGCAATGATTGTTTGAGGCCTTTTTCTGAGTATTTTGTAGAAGCTAACTGCTAGCCACCTAGCATTACTTATTTGAGGCCTATAGGCCTAGGCTTGTGTATATGCTGCAGTTCATGTCTGTGGCTTATATTTTCCAACTGCAATGCTGTACATTGTTGTGTGATGTATACTTTATGTTGATTTAAGAACTGGTAAATGTGATAGTTATTTTATGTGCATTTAGGCTGTACATTTCCATTGCTAATTATCAACCAGGTCTTAGTTATGTTTATTCCCATGTGGACATTTAAGTTGCATTGTAATATGAAGAGTTCTCATAAACTAGTACTTATAATTTATATTTTGTTTATTCTCTTGTAGTAAACCACACACACACACACACACACACCCACACACACACACACACACACACAAACACACACTCAACCACAATGGAGTGATAATGTTTGTTTTCAAGCCTAAATAAAGACCAGTTCAAGTTAAACCCAGAACCTGGACATTATCTTTTTTTAACTCAACTCACCTGGACATATATAATTGCTGTCCTGACCTGACACCCCGAAGTGATTGCTAATACTCATATAAACCAGTTACAGTCCTCATTACAATTTATGGTCCTTCGAGCTGGATTGAGCAACCACAACAGTCAATATGCCCAGGCCATATGAGAGAGATACAAGAGATGTTGACTGGCTACAGAGATCAAGCACCCGCCATCATATCTTCAAGACTAAGAGGTCCACTACAATCCAAGGCAGCACCTTCCAACTGATGAGTTGGCATCGTCATCTAAAGTATTCAGATGTCTTCACAATATGAGAGAAGAAAATGACCAACAACACAGAGATGTCCAGCATCTTACAAACATGATCCAAAAATCTCAGGTCTCACAACCCCAATCACGGTCCAAATGCAGAGAAGAGGACACATCCATTATACCAAAACCTGCAAGTAAGCTGATGGCATCTAGTGGTCATTGAGTGGTGGGTGGTTGTGGCAAAGTGCTTAGAGCAGTTGTCCTCCAATGCAAGAGATGGGGGTTCAAATCTACCAGCGGTCACATGCCGAAGTTTCCCTGAGCAAGACACTGAACCCCTCATTGCCTTCGATGTGTGTCCCATCGATGTATGAATGTGATAAAGCACTGACTAGTCTCTTTAGAATGATTTGTTCAATTGGCTTTGTAGAGATCTATTAGAGTGCTGTATAAATTGTCAGGATTTGTTGGACAGGAACGAACCCAATTGTGCAGACAGGACTCAACTCGGCAGATTACAAAAATAAGTATTTTAATAGTAAATAAAGAACAAAATAATAGCTGACGTGGCAGCAAGACTTACATGAAAACGGATGGCTCAAAGGGAAACTCAGGGAGGACTCAGGAAAGCTCAGGGGAGACGCAGGAGAAC